CCTCAGAGTAGAAGGTGTTCCCGGCCAGCACCCTGCTGTGGAGCAGGGCCTGCCCCAGACAGAGCGCGGCCCGAGAGCATCTGCTCACTGGGTTTTACAAGTTCTTCTCATGAACCCTTGTTCTAATGAAGATAGGCAGGGGTGCAGAAAGATCACTGGGCCGGTGCCCCCATTCTCTTGCTCTGACAACCCCACACTGACAGGTGGGGGGTGCGGAGCAGGCGTTGGGCACAGGGTGCTGCCAAAGAGCAAGATCTTGGCCTCTGCATTGATAGAATCACCGTTGGGCCTCAGTGGTGAGGGGCAGGAGGACAAAAAGAAAAGCGAGGGTGGAACTAGAAAATGTGCTGTCTTCTACAGTATCAGGGGCTGTGAGTCCACCCTCGGGGCACTTCTCACCTGCTTGATGCCTCCGATTGTCGCTGAGATCCCGCCCTAGATCTGCAGCCAGGGTTTCAGTCTTATCAACAAGACCTCCCCGGATCAGCTGCTGGGGTCCCTTAGGAGTGGATGGCGGTTGTTGCAAGCGGGGACTTGTTGACATCCCCTCCTCCACGTGTGGTCATTGGGAAGTGTCTGGAGACAACTGGTTGTGACCGCAGAGGGAGGGAAGCTGTGGGCACCTGGTGGGTCAGCTTCCCCCAGTGCACAGGACAGCACCCCACAAAGGCTGATCTAGCCCCAACAGCAGCAGTGCAGAGGCTAGACCAGAGCCCCGGTCCAGGCACAAGGTCGGTCCCCCTGGTGGCTGGCCGCTACAGCTGGCCTCCTATCGCCTAAGCTTGGCCAGTGGAGGTGCCTCCGCGAAGGGCTTGGCAACAGAGCAGGGCTAAATTGGGAGCTGGCGCCGAAACGCCCTCCCAGTGACCCGTGCTCCATCAGTGGTTTCCCTGGAGAAATAGCAGATGGGCAGCGGCCATGGCAGCATCTGGCCAGTGTTGAGGTGTTTTTTGCTTCCTCTACCCCCTTGGTTTCTGTCCACTTTCCAAGCTGGACTTTACCCTTCCTGCCTTTTCTGTTAGCTACTCACCATCCTGCCCATCATTTTGCGTTCTGCATCAGGTAGTGGAGGCAGGCTCTTATGTGATGGCCAGGGTAGTCCAGCTACGGCAACAGCGTCCTCCCATTTTCGGTGGCTCAGCGCAATCAAAGCTACTTTCTCGCTCATGCAGCAGTTGAAGGGATTCATTTGGCTTTCCTCTCACCATGACACGGCACGCCATTGCTTCTGTGGTGGCTCCGCTCGCCCTGCAGGTGCGAGGCCTCCCAGGCCCTCCTTTATCCAGGTGAGCGCTGAAAGGAGCGCCTGGTGGGGAGCCGGTTGTAGGAGGGGGAATGGTGGACCAGTCTGCAAAGAACTGTGTCCTCGCCCAGCGCTCCAGATCGTGCAGGGGCCAGGAGCTGTAGTCTGGCACCTGCCCGCACCCTGTCGGCAAACCAGAGGCCAAGCAGCAGGACAGGTGTGGGCGTAGGGGCGCCCAAGGGCCGGGCATGAGAGCACTCTGGGCGACAGAGCACCACAAGGGCAAGACAAGGGGAGCACAGAGACCCGAGTGGGAAATGAGAACATGCAAGTCAGCGTGGCCTTCCGCTTTGCTTGACCGGTGGCGCCCAGCGCGTGACAGTCACATCAGACAGAGCCTGTGTCTTTGTGGAATTCTCCCTCCGCGTCTTGTCCCCGCGCCACCCCATGTCCATATCACCCACACAGCTACCAGCCATCAACTCCATGTAACAGTGATGGCCGCACTTGACTACATGATTTAGGTTTGCCATCGAGAAGTCACTGCCTGAAGTGATTCATGAAAGTAGGGGAGACACACTTATATGTACAGAGCCCAGAGACTTTGTCGCCTTCCCTGGTTCCACAGTCCCGTGAAGTTCTTCCGTTAACATTTATGCCAGTAATCCTAAACCTCACAGAACACTCCCTACACTAAAACATTATTCAGTATTGACCCAACCACACACACACAGCAGGCTGAGTCCCAGCTACGAAGGATGAAGCCGGGTGACAAAAATTATCTCCGGTGACATCTGACTTCAAAATCTTTGTTCTTTTCATGGCGTTGACGTGTGACCTTAGATGAGATACTTCACTGCTCTGACCCTCACCTTCCTCATCTGTAAACGGCGTAAACACTTATCCAAGTGTTGTCAAGAGTGCATAATTACTGCACAAAATAACTCGCGTTTCATCAGCATTCTAGAAGCATCAGTTTCTTTCTTTTCCTTGGTTATCAAGTGGGGAGTTCTGAGAGCTGGTAATGCTTCGAGGGAAGAGGAAATCAGTGTCATTTTAAAAATTGAGATCTAATTGACGTATTTGCTCAAGTGTACAGCACGGTGATTGGCACTTGTGCACATTGTTTAACAGGCACAGCCGTAGCTGTTAACATTCATCTTGTGGGGAGAACGTCTAAGGTCTCCACCTTGGAACTCTCATGTCCAACATGGGGTTAGTAACTGCTGGGCCTCCCGCCCGGGACTTCCTAGATAACTGGAAGTTTGCAAGTGTTATTTCTCCCTCCCTCTCTTCTTTAAAAAGACATTCATGCACACAAGAACTGGGGTACAGGCCAGAGGTGCAGGGGCCGTGAGGGAATTCACCAGAGACAGAGTGGGGAGCAGAACAGGCAGATCCACGAAGTACACTGCTGAGGGGAGCAGCGGGGAGGCAGGAGAGGTCTGCCTGGCTAGGGATGGAAGTCCTGCTACAGTGGCTGGCGATAGCTTGACAGTGCTCTTGAACGCCCGCGCCTGCAGGGAGGCACCACTTTTTTATCTTTTAACCTTGCCTTTGGTTCTCTCCCCTGCTCCCTAAGAGAGTCATTATTAGAGAAGACCAGATGGTCAAGAAGCATGTGTCACTGGGGAAGAATCAGGCACAGTCTGTGTCCACACCTCCGAGTGATCCCACTGCCTCGTATGCGGCCTGGTGCCTTCTGGGGCTCCAGATCAATGTTTCAGCAAGCAAGAAGGGAAAGAATAGAAAAAAGAGGGAAGGGGGAGGGAGGAGAGGAAGGAAGACTGGAAGTAGTTGAGTTCCAGGAATGGGGGTCCTTGATGGGCTTCAAAAGAAGAAAAACATAGACCTCACTATTTCAAGACACCCCTTCCCCAACAGAACTTAGCGGTGATTTCCCTGAGAGCCTTGCACCTCTTCATTAATTCCTTTCATGGAACAAGAAGAAATGGAAAGAAACAGACTAGGAAAACATCCATTTCTAGATGTCACCGGGTGACAGTTGCCATCAAAGGTGAAGAATAGAGAGGGGCTCTTTCCTCCCTCAGTGGAAGTGGCCCCCAAGAACATCAGGATGTCTGAGGAGGCGGCTTACATGTCGGAGCCAGAGACAGGAGCTCAGCCCGTGTGTGACCTTGGCCAAGGCGAGCGGATGCTGTAGCTGGCCTTCTCATCTGCAAAATGTCGGTGTCGGTCCCGATCAAAGCTCCTCGGGCTTGGCACTCCATTGGGTGGGGAGCCGTGGCGCAGGCGAGAGCATGTCTGGAGGTGGGCCCCGGCATCGGGAGTGTCAAAGCACTCACCTGGCCCCCGTGTGCTGCCTAAAGCTCAGTTGTTCCCAGACCAGCATCATGGGCTTCTCTTGGGGTCCCTGTGGTCAATCCAGAGCCACATGATCAGAATTGGCTCTTAAAGGGGGCACCCTGAGTCGCTGTGTTGACCTTACAGTTGGAAGCTGACAGTGACCCTCTCCCACCCAGCTCTTCCATCTGACAGTGCTTTGCTTCTGGTATTTCAGTATCTTTTTGGGATCTCAGCACCAGACACGTCGTAAGCGTTGTACATTTTATGTGTGTGTTATGTGTATACACGCAGAAAGCACAAAAATTACCCTATCACAGCTGTTCCACGTGGGGGGCTAAGTGAAAATAAATTGGAAAAAACCTTGGTCCTGTAAATGGTGCAGACAATTTTATGGGTTCTGATCAAAGCCTATTTTCCCTTTGTCCAGTGGAGTCCGACCCCCTAAGGAGCCCGTCTCTTCAAAGTCAGCAGCGCCGGCCTGGCTATTAGAAACACCTGGCTCTATGTGGCCATTTCTACCTAACATGTTCTCACCTGGCGGCACAGCCTTCCCGGGTCCCTTGGCTTGGGACCGGCGACTTGGCTAGCTGCTGCCCTGGGCCTTGGATCAAAGCAAGTCACCAGCCAGGTCCAAAGCCAAAGTTGGGGCGTAGGCTTTGCACACCACGAAGCCAAAGGGTGTGAAGCAGGGAGGGAGTGAAGGCAAGCACGGTCATCCTACCATGACCAGTTGTCAGGACAGCTTGCGAGTGTGCACACGTATGAGTGAGTGTGCAGAGGGACGCTCTGACGCCAGTGAGCCATTCACTTCTGCGCTGACGGGCCACGCACGGCTTAACAGCGGGCTCTGCTCAGCTCATGCCTCCTCGGGCGATTTCCCCTGATGTGGACACCAGAGTGTAAGTACAAAACCCAGACCTTAGAGCCCACCACTCACCTGGGCTGCTCGGTGGAGCCTATCCGGGCCACCTGCGTGTATGGCCTGCCACTGGGGGCCAGGGGCGCCATGGGTGCCCGGTGGCATCTTGGCCCAGGTATGCAAGCTGTCTCCAATAAGCCCGGTATTGCACGGTGACCTGCAACTTGACCTTCAAGCTGCAGCAGCCCAGGCTCTGCAGTTGGTCAGAGAAAACCCAGCAGAGTGTGGAAAGCTAAACTGAAGTAAGATAGGAGTGTCATTCTCAGCCGACATCCTTGCTTCCTGCCTTGACATCTCAACTACATTATTAAATCCTCCAGTGCAGGTAACAGGGAACCTGTTCAAAGTGCGAAACAGACGCGCCGCCGTGGTGGTGGCTCTGACCTGTGTGAAGTGAGCTGGGGGGGGGGGTTTCTAGGTGGTGAGCAGAGCGCAGAGGATGCGCGGGTCCTGCAGGAGGCGGTCCGGCCAGATGTGCACGGCCCGCCCCGCCCTCCCCGGCAGGCTGCACCGGGAAAAGAGCCCCGCGACTCCAGCGGGGCGTCCCCACCTCTCTCGGAGCCGCCGGTGCCCCGCAGGGCCAGACCTCCCGTCCCTGTCGGAACAGCTCCCCGGGAAGAGCCCAGGCGGCGACCCCGCTGCGCCCCAAACCCCGCGCCCTCCGGAGGGGGCGCAGGCAGAGGAGCGGGAGGCGGTGGTGGAGTGAGACCCGGCGAAGATGCTGCTGCCCTGGGCGCTTGGGCTCGCCCTGCTGCTGCCCTGGGCGGCAGGTGGGTTAGGGAACGCGGCCAGGTGAGTGGCTGGCTGGCGATCGCTCCCCCGGGGACCCCTTCCCTTGGCCTCCTGCCTCGCCAGGCGCTGCCGGGGAAGGGGTGTGTGAGTGCCTGTGTGTCCGCGCACGGAGCGGGATTCCACCCGGACCAAGGCCCCAGGCGCCAAGGGCTTTCCTTCCTGCACCCCTTTGTCGGAACTTTGCTTTAGCCGCGCCCCACCAGGCTGAGCCCGGAGGATGAGGAGGCTCCGCGCTGGCCGCCCGGGGTGGGGGTGCCGCTCCGCTCCTGGGTGCGCTCTCCTCCGGGTGCGGGATGGTGGTCTCCGGGCACCCACTGTGCGGGTGGGGTTGTGCCTGGCCAGGGCTGATAGCTGTGCAGTTTTGTGCTGTCCACTCCACTAGGGCGCCAACTGGTTGTCGGTGCTATCGGCGGGACGGGAAGGGGGCGGAGGAGGGACAGAAACGGACGGGAGACAAGGGGCCTTTACCCAGCGCCCTTCTGACTCAGGCCAAGGAGCTGAAAGAAAGGAGGCGCTCGTCAGATGGAATCGAGTGTCCTGGGCCAGGCGGTACCTAGAGGGAACCCCTTTCCTTGCCTGGCTCAGGCTCTGTGCAGCCCTGAACCCATTGTCTGGAGAGGTGAGCAGCCACTTAGTGCGCGCACCCTCCCACCCCCTGACTCCAGGTCAGGCGCTGCCCCTCGGCCCAGGACTCTGAGCCCATCCGTGCTCATACTGCGCTGTGTGGCCGGCACCAGCCCGACAGCCTCTGCTAGGGCAGGAATGGGAGGCACAGGGAGGTCAAGTCACTTGCCTCAGGAAGCACAGCCAGGGAGTGATGGCGCGTCTCCAAAACCTGGGGGTCTGGCCCAGAGTCTGCTCTTGGCGGGTGCAGTCGCGGCCTCTCCCCTGCGAGAGGCTTCCTGGTTCTCCCGCGTGACGTCCTGCATTCTGGCCTCCGCAGGCAGCAGGATTTCTCCACCACAGCTCGGCGACCTTTTGGGCTGCACTAGACTATTATTGGGGGAAAGTCCACTCTAGGGTTTTTAGTGGCCTCTCCCCAGTAGATACCAGTAGCCATCCCCACCCCCCAGTTGTGGCAACCAAAACTGTCTCTGGAGGATGCCTGAGGTCCCCTGTGGGAGAAGGAGCCAGAATCACCTCCAGCAGTGATTTGAGAGAACCCAGTCCTGCTACAGTTTTCTTAGGCAAGAGTTCCCGGGCAAACAGGCAGAGTCTTGGTTTGGTGTAGGTTTCTAAAAGGTGAGCCTGACTCTCTTTGTTTGACTTAGAAGAAAAAAAATCTTTCAATCAGAGTCACAGTATTAAGGGATTTGTAGATTCAAACAGAACACAGGCCAGGTGCTTGGACTGTGTGATCGAACATTTTGATTTCCTTTGCCTTTCTGTTTTTAAAAGATTTATTTATTTTTGTATACAAGAGCTGGGGTTTTGACCAGGGGTTGAGGGTGAGAGGACTCCCCAGAGACAGAGTGAGGAGCAGAACAGGCGCATCTACTGAAACAGACTGCTGAGGGCGCAGTGGGGAGACAAGAGAGGTCTGCTGCAGCATGTGGGTCACTCCCTGGGCAGGGATCGAGTTCGTGCCACAGTGGCTGGGGATAGTGCTGCCGCGTAACCCCTTGCACCACCAGGGAAGCCCCTCAATTTCCTTTTCATGATAAAAATGTAGCAGATGCAATTGGCTCATAATGGCATTTCCTTTACTGTTGGTTTCTTGGATTGCTAGAAAGCCCATTTGAGTAAGTCCAAGCAGTACTTAGCGATGGAATTAAGAGTTCTTCAGCCGTCAGCAATGCAGCCCCTGGGAGCTTTGCTTTCAAAGTACCACTAAGTGAAAGTAAAAGCCTAAAATCCCCCTTAGAAACCAAAGTATATGAAAACAGAGAATCCATATAACAGTTCTGCAGTTTCCAGTATGTGAAAAGTGGTTTGTTGACACGATGGGTATGTCTATTATCTGCCCAACATACTTGGACATGTCAGGTGGTCCCCATTTCCCAGATTGCCCAGGAACCACACAAAATCAACGCTAGGCTCCAAGTTACGGATGTCTCACTGACAAAGCCAAGGTTCTCATTGCAGAAACGTGTGTCTGCTGGGTGGTTTCCTACTCTTTCACAATTTAGGTGATAACTATTGCCTAGGGATTTCTAATATAAGTACCAGTTGTTTTGAAACACTGTGCTGTAATGTTAGCCACTGAGAAAATGATACGCCTCGTAAAGGGTGCTTAGTGTATATGGACAAGCCACCCTCGTGGAGGAATTAAGTCATTAGCAGCCTGTATTCCCTGATCTTAAGCACCAGACTTCGGCATACACCCTATACTTGTTTATGTCTTCAGGTGAGGTTCTAGACGGCCTGGCCCAATGCAATATCTCAGATACTCACTAGCCCCTGTGCTATCTTGAGCAGTTGAAATGTAGCCACTTGGCATTGAGATGCGCCCGAAGTATGTCAGTGTGTGAAGCTTTGGGCATCTGAAGCTGTGTATGAAAACAAAAAAACCAACAGCATAGTGCATCTCACTAATCTTTTCACATTGATTACTTGTTGAAATGACAATGTGGATCTACTGTATTAGATAAAATGCAGAATTAAATTGAATTTCACCTGTTTCACAATCAAAACATAAGGCTCCAAGAATATTTTCAGGGTCACACGTGACTGCTCCATTTCTGCCAAAAAGGGCTGTTCTAGAATATTTGTCGGTCTAAACTTCACTCCAGTGTTCCAGTTTCCAACACTGCCACCTTTTTGCCTTGACATAGAAGATAAGTGTGTTATTCACTCTGCTGTTCTTCACACCCAAGTTTGGAGCAACTCCCTACTTGAATGTATTTCTGTTTTACATTTTTTCTCCATTGAGGTCAAACAAAAATAACAAGAACAATGATAGAAGGACTGGCTTCATGCTGAGCATCTGCACTCGTGGTCAGGCCTGCTTTCTGCAAACCAAGCCCTCCACTGAGAATTGAGTCTTCCCCGTACTACAATGGAAGTGCCTTAGTAACAACGTCCTGGGAACCTAGTGGCTTAAAATCACACAAATTTATTCCCTTACAGTTCTAGAGGTCAGAAGTTCAAATTGAGTTTTACAGGGCTAAAATTAAAGTATTGGCTGTGCTGGTGCATTTTGGAAATTGCAGGGGAGTACCCATTCCTTGTTTGTTACAGCTTCTAGAAGCTTCCAACAATCGTTGGCTTATGGGAGCACCCCTGCAGTTTCTTCTTCCTTCATCACCCTGCCTTTCCTCTGACTCTTAGTCACCTTATCCCTTCCAAAAAATAAAAACCCTGGCAATGATATGGGTCCCACCAGATAGTCCAGGACAGTTTCCCATGTCAAGACCCTAATTTGATCACACTTGCAAAATCCCTTTCACCATATAAAGAAATCAGCTCCAGGTTCCAGGTGTTACCCTTTGGGAGCACCATTACTCAGCCTCCCATGAATGGCCTGAACTGTAAGTCTGTTCTTAGTTTTGTGGGCTCTTTTTTAAAACATGATGGAGTAATTGGTGAATAGTTGGCCTTAAGCTATAATTTGTGGGAATATACTGAAAACTCGAGCTGAGTGTGTCTATGAATAAGTAACCCTGAGATGTATAGTGACAGCATAGATATTGTTGCTAAGCAACCTCATTCAAGAGTTAGTTTCATTGGCTCAGAGGGTATTAAAGTCCTATTTGTATGTCCTTTCTGTGCATAAGTCACGATTACGTAAACATTAAAGTAAGAAGTATATTCTCTAGCCTTCATCAATCATATCGCTGTTCAGCAAATACTGTGGAGCCCTACTATGTGTCAGCTCTTTGCAAATGGGATTTCAGTCCACTTCCTCCTCGTGCCTTAGAAATAGCATTAGTCTGTTTGCCCATGGGATGGAGAAACTGAAATTAGATGATTTCCCAGTAGCTGCATTTAAATTCATCTCATTCCAAGAGCTGTAATATTCCAATATTCCAAACTTATCTCCCCTCAAAACTTGAATACATAGAGCTGAGCTTGACTAAGTGCTTTCTCACACACTGTCTCCAGTGAGCCCGCTGCACTTCACTCTTGTGCAGCATAGTCAAGGGGCGTGTGTAGAACAAGTGGGAAACCCTCACACACCACCCTTACCTCCGACACTTTTTCCTCCTCTCTAAGCTCACATTGTCTCAGAAACAGGCTCTGGGACTGGGGTTCGAGTGTGTACAGTTTATTTGTGGGGTGACCCCAGGCAGATCTACTAGTGTAGCACAGAAGGTCAAGAAGTGTTATCAAAGTAAGTTACAACTGTAATTGAATCCTGTGGGAAATTCTAGAAGACAGTAGGCTGCCAGCCTATGAAGACAGGGAGCTGGAGTATTTGTACTGCTGCCAGTCGTGGGTGGAGCTGCTGGAGAGGGAGCGTCTGGTCTTACAGTCTACCCTGTTCACAAGCAGAGCTGGCTCCTTCCAACAGAGAAAGTTTCATAGCAAATACGTCTAGGGTCAATAGGAGAGGGACGGGACAGTAAAGGCAAGCAGTCCAGTGTGCAACTGGAAGTAATGGCCATAGGCGTAAAGACGGATGAAGGGGAGGCCTGGCATTCCTGCAGAATAAAGACATTGGCCCAAAACAGAGTGGACTGGCCAACACCTGTCGTCACGAGCCCCAGGGCTGCTAAGAGCACAGAAGACAGGCTGACCCCAAGCTGCGAGGAGCCCCGGATGGCAAGCTGAGGAGTTTGTTTCTGTTCTGAAAGAATTGGAGAGCAAAACCAGACATCACGGGCTCTGTGTTGATTGTAAAGACGAAGTCCTGCTTGGAATGAGCACACAATTGTGAAGACTTGTTCAGGGAATGGAGCCATGGTTTAGTTTAATTGGTAGCACTTTTTTTTTTTTTTTGCTGTGGTACATAATAATAGTGTGTCTATAAGCTCTGGCCTCTCAGATTCGAGAATGATGAATGCAAACTTGAAAATCAGAATACCAAAGGAGCAAATACCTTTTTTTTTAAAAAAAAG